ATTTAAACTTTAGCAAAGGGAATTGTAGATATTTTAGCGAGCCTTCAACAAGGGACAATTAAAGATCTCTCTGTTAAATTAGTATCGAAATAGTGTTAACTTGTGAGTATCATTACAAGCTTGTTGCCTGAAAATTATAAAGAAAATCTAAAGACTAGATTTTCTGCAAATAAACAAAACTGATTTTAAAGGTCCTGTTTATCTTTGTTCATGTTTTCATGGCAACTAGACATACGTCAGCTTAACAATCAGAAAATCAAAGTTTATCTTGTTAACTTGCTTGTTGCCAGTTTTGGCGACCAAAGGATCAAGGGTTTTAGAGAACAAGAGGCTCCAAGTAGCTTATACTCTTGGGCAGGAGGTTACAAGTCATATAACATAGATACGCAATGCGTACATAGTCAGACAAGCAATTTGAAAATGTTTGCCATCTGACAACTAGAAATAATACGGGAGAAATGCTAATTTGAAAACAGTGCATCATAGATCCAAGATATAGATAATGGAGAGAAGATGCAGGAGAGAAGATAAGTGCTGTAACGCAATATGCCATCTTTATTACAAGGATATCATCAGGCAAAAAACAAAGCAAGCCAAGTCGAGAAATTATAGATAGAGAATTAACAAACGATGAGAATTGTGAATTGGATGAAATATCCTTTTCCAAAGCAATTCTGAACTAAATCTCTTTAGGCATTTTTTGTTCAATTGTTAGACTTGTTTATGTTGGTTGTTAGGAATATATTAACTTCATGCAGTGGACTGCCATTCGTCATGGATCATGTACATAATCGAGTGCAACATTTGCAAACTTCAATACATTGGCAAAAGTGAAACAGCATTTAACCTACGGTTAAACAATCACAGAAACCATATCAAAAAGGGAGTGAGTAGCTGCGAACTCACTGAACACTTTTTACATAACACACGAACTCACGACTTTGACAATAATGTTACCATTGCTATCATAGAACAAATGAAAAAAGATCATTTAGAGATTGACAAAAAGAAAGAAGTCCTTCGAGAAAGAGAGATTTTAGTTCTCTTGTTACCTTCAGTTGTATTTAGTTGTACCTAGTTGTATATTAATAACTCGTCCAAACATGACCCACCTAGATTAGCTCAGCTATCCGCGGGCATGTTACAATTGTAATTTTAATTTGATAACAAATAAAATGTATGTGTGTATGTATGTAGATTTTCTGGCAAAGAACATTAAACCCCATTTAGCCGAATGGACTTAACAAAAGAACTGGATAAAGTTTTTACACAAGAGCCTTTATAAAGTTTTGGATACATAAATTGTTTAAAACATACGTTATAAAGGTTGTAAAACTCTTTACCTATTAGAAATACTAATTGTTTACAAAACATTCTACCCAACATCTAATTAAACAACATGCATTGTACTACATCACACAATTAACCAATTAAGACTCTAACAATTGCATGTGAAGACCCCTGAGGAAGGCAAATGCCCAGACGCGTCAGGTCTCGAATAAAGCATTGAAAACAGAAGCTAGCTTTCCACGAGGCTTATCGTAGCTCAAATAGCAGCAAATAACTCTCCTGTATGCCTTTTGAGGCNACTACACCATCAGGACAACCATGCTGGCAACACGGCAATCGAAGATGTGATTTATGTGGAATGGAACGTGGTCTCCCAGGAAATTTTTTTTGAAGGTGACAAAGTAGGGGAAGCCTACAACTCCGGTTTTGAAATCCATAAATGTTTGAAAGAAAATTCGCCCTGAGTGGGCGAATTTTCTTTCAAACATTTATTCACTTTAAAATATGATTATCTGGGGTGTACAGGGTCAGGGGTTCTTTCATATACAGTATATATTAATTTAAAAGTAGCCTGTATCTCTTGTGGATCCTTCATTGTCATCCGCTAAGTTGACTTCGGTCGTATATTATTAACTTGATCCTTAGTTGGATTTCAAAAACGGAGTTATAGGCTTCCCCTACCTTGTCACCTTGAAAGAAAATTTCCTGGGAGAGCACGTTCCATTCGATTCCATATAAATCACACCTTCGATTGCCGTGTTGCCAGCATGGTCGTCCTGATGGTGTAGTGGATATCACACCCGACTATATCTGTCTGGATTCGCAAAACCATAGCCACTGAATTTGACTTGTCACTGATAATCTTGATACTATTCTGTCCTAGAGCTAGCTTTCCACAAGGCTTATCGTAGCTCAAATAAGAGCAAATAACTCTCCTGTATGCCTTTTGAGGCCAGGAAGACTAAATTCACCGTCTTTTCGTTGAATCATGAATTGTACAATTTAATTAAGAGTGCTTTTAAAATGAAATTGGAGTCTAAATCAACACGAACGTACAGATATCAAAACCGCAGCGGAGAGCTAATCTGTCGCTTTCTAAAGGCCTGCATCGTCCTACATGGACTGAACAAGAGCTTCCTGCATCGAGAATCGATTGAACTTCAAACAAACTAGGCCATAGTTAGCAGTAAGCGAACACTCAACATGTTGT